AGTTTTAATGTTGGTGACATACCTATATGACAAGTGTGTGGCAAGGTTGGACATAAGGCTAACATTTGCAATTTTCGATATGATGAGAGATACACTGGAACACTGCCAAACCAGAGGATCAACTATAGCCCTTTACCAACATCGATCATAGCATCTCCGAGCACGGTAAATGATCTAGCTTGGTTTGCTGATACAGCTAGTAAGCACATCACTACTGAAAAGGAAAACATTACTTTGGTCAATGAATACACTGGTAAAGAGAAAATCATGGTTGGAAATGAAAATAAGTTGCAAGTTTCACACTTTGGTATAACTCACGTCCCAACCTTAAATGATAGAACACTTGTATTAAATAAACTACTTCATGTTCCTAAGATTAAGAAAAGTCTTATTAGTGTTTCACGGTTAACATCTGACAATCGAGTTTATATGGAATTTCATTCCAATTGTTGTTTTGTTAAGGACAAGGTAACAAGGAAAGTAATGCTGCAATGGAAGCTTAAAGACTGGTTGTATCAACTGGATTTTCCTGGTACGACAAGTTGAAAACTACGCTGTTAAGCTGAAAGTTCAAACAATCAATAGCAGATACATCGTTGTTTTACTTCAAGAAGGAAAGACAAATTATTTTTGCACTTATTTATGTTGACGATATTGTCATGACAAGAAATGATGTTGAGCTGTTACAAGGATTCATAAATGAATTGAACAAAAAATTTGCTCTAAAAGATATGGGACAACTTCATCACTTTCTTGGAGTTGAAGTAGTGTGGCATGATTCAGAACTTCACCTTACACAAACAAGATACATTGTTGAGCTGCTTAAGAAATTTGAGTTGCAAAATTTGAAGTCTTGTCCTACTTCGATTCTTGCCAGCAAAACCATGTCAAAAACTGATGGAAAATTGTTGAAGAATCCCTTAATTTACAGAAGTGCAATAGGAGGACTGCAATACCTTATACACACCAGGCCTAACATCACTTTTGTTTAGCTGAGCCAGTTTCTGCAATCACCAATATCCACACATTGGCAGGGATTGAAGATGGTGTTGAGATACCTTAAAGGAATAATGAATCAGGGGCTATGGATATAAAGAAGTGACAAATTAAACCTGATTAGATACTTAGATGTAGATTGGGCCTCCTGTATGATGATAGGAGATCAACAACGGTTTATTGCATTTATTTAGGAGACAACTTAATAGCCTGGTCATCAAAGAAACATGTAGTTTCCAGATCGAGAACAGAGCTCTTGCATCAGCAGCTTCAGAAATTGCTTAGATTCAATTGCTATTCAAAGAACTTGAACTACCACAAGTGTTAATTCTAGTATTATGGTGTGATAATATGGGAGCAGGTGCTTTAGCAGTAAATCTGGTATACCATGCTAAAAACAAAGCACATTGAATTGGACATTCATTTGATCATAGATAAGGTTATTGGAAAGGAACTGGAAGTGATATGTACCTTCTTCTGATCAAATTGCAGACTTATTCAAAGACCTCACTCACTCAAGATTTCTATTCTTAAAGGACAAGCTTGGAGTCACTTCAATACCGTCCAACTTAAAGAGGGGGGGGGGGGTGTAAAGAATTAACATACACATCAGCCTCCAACTCAATTGACAACTAATCTCACAATCACCAACTATTCATCATTGTTGTCTTACCTTCCGTTTCACCAAAATACTGTCACGAATTTATGTTATAAATAGATTCCTAACATACTCCATTATTTAAGGAACTAACTTATAGCTGTACACTCTGGAATATTGTTTGTACACTCCTTCATAATGTATATTTACTGATGCTAAAGCAATGTAAATTGTAAGGTGGATCAGTATTCAACATTCTCTAAATTTCTAATTGTACAAGCCCTAAATGCATATGCATCTTGGTTAAGGATAGAAATGACTTGAGCCTTGGCCTCAAAATTAATGCAACACTTGCATTAGATCTCCCGACTCAATGTCATGCACCGACTAATATAACAATCTGGTAAGTACACACATGATTTTCACCTATACGTAGGTGGTATATAAGTTTAAATGATGACAGACTAATTAATTAAAGTATATGTGATTATTCAGCTCTATTGCATTTAGCACCAAATTCATCAGATGCTGAGGTATTTGAGGATTTTGCAAATAGTCCCAAGAAAAGCAATAGTTATACAACTACTGAAGGTGAGAAAAAAAGAAAGAATAGTGATGAAGATGCCATATGTTGGATTTTAACTAACGTGAGTTTCTAATTGTGCCCTTTAATTTTATCTTCACGATTCCTGAAAACAAAGTTTTGCAATGTCAATAATATATGTACTTTTGGAGATGAGGTGGTTGTGAGGTTTCGGAGGTTAAGGATAATTAATATTAAAGTTATAAGAGTAAGGATGTATAAAGTATTTGGAAACAAATTAGAATTGAATTGGATCAGATAGATCGGTTCTCAATACATATTTTCTCTTGTATCCACTTTTCTATTTCTCTCAAGTCTCAATTTCTAGCATATTTTATGAACTAGAGCTCCTAATGGATCTTATTATAATGTCTCGGCATGGAAAAGGTAACCTATGGCAAATACCTCTATGTCCTCCTTGGTGTCCCCCAAAATCAATGGAGACCTTGTTGGCAAAGAGCTCTTCTCCCATGCCCTGCTCTTCAAATAAGGGGCACAGTCTATTAACTTATGGTAGATCTTTGTATATAGTCAAAGTCTTTTCTCTAATTATTTTTAAATTAGATAAATGAATCCAAGTTTTTGGAGTTTGAAGAGGATTGTTTATTAAGACTTAGTATTCTACATTAAGGTCAACATTGTTGTTAAGAGTAGTATGACGTGTCTAGATTGTACTTTCTAATTTGATCAATGTGGGATTATATTCGCACTGATTTATTTAATCTTTGTTAGAGTTAGAGATTGAACTAGAATAGTGGTTTTCGAGGAAATTTTGAGTATTATGATGTTAATCAATGGTTTCTTTAACAATCGTTTGACTCTTCCAACTTCCATCACATTTAAAAGGAAAATTGGATCGAACCAAAGCCAATTGATTTGCCAAAAGGGACAAAATGAGATTTACAATTGGAAAGAAATAAATATTTTAGATTAAACAAGACTTATCAATGTATGATGATAATACTAAATAATCATCAATATTTACCCTATAGTTTTATAACAATATTAATGTTTTTTACTTTAGCCAACTAAGGTTAGATTTGGAAGTCAGAGAAAAGTTTAGTACATGAGTGGCAAATATTATTTTATCGTGAATTTCTTATTTGATGTTTTCTACTTTAGCTAATTAAGGTTAGATTTGAAAGCCACAAGTAAGTTTAATACTGAAATTGACAAACATAAAAATAAAATTGGTGACCCGCCCCAAATCGAATAGATTTGGGTTGGGTCGATTTTGGTTATAAGATTGGTCGGGTCAATTTCAGAAAAGCTCAAAAGTCAAAACTAACCTCTTCTTCGCGAGTGTAGGTATTGTGCCCAAGGTCGGCCCGAACAGGCTAGTTGCTCAATTGTGGTTACAGAGAATCTGTTTCAATTTGATCAGTATGAATGTTTAGTTTGTGGAAGATCTTGCAACTATAATGTTAGTTTTTGAGCCAAGAATTTGAGGTGTAGTTTTGTAAATGTCCACGATTGTGATCAACATCAAATTAAGTCCCTATTTGACAATCATTATTTCAAAAATCTTTTTTCTACATATTTATTTTCAAATCTTCTTCTTTACTTTTTAACCACGCAATTATCTAAAGCATCACTATTCAAATTTCATTTTACCCAAATAATGATTGTCAAACAAGGGCTAAAGTTTTATTCTTAATGAGAATAATGTGAATCTATTTTCTTTATTTCGATCGTTTAGGCGATAGTCAATCATATTTTCGTGTTCGTTCAGATTCTTAGTGAATATTATCACCCTTGTTTACTAACGAATCAAATTTATTTATCAAAATTCATTTGCTTGGACATACTTTATGTGGTAATTTATGTTCAATTTCATATGGGATTAGGCAAAAGTATTGAGATCTTCTTATTGCTGTTCATTTATGAATATTGTGCATATTTCAGGTTTTCAATGTAAAAATGAATTTATTGTACACGTGATAAGCATGTTGAAGAGAACAAACAAACTATCTCGTCTAAGAGTTTAAATTATAAATTGGCTGGTTAGAATTTCTTATAATTCTAGCGATCACTATGATTATGTCATGATATAATATTGCTCTTAATGTGGATGGTCATGCATAAAAATCAATATTAAAAAGGAAAATGATACAATAAAAAGATGTCACATAGATAATAACTTTAGAAATTGCAATAGGGCCAGGTTCAAAGCGAGAACCCCATTCCCTCAGAGGGATGTGATGCTTTTAGTGCCTTTTTAAATTCCGTTGTCTCTTTGCTTTTTATTGATCATTTGCCCCTTTTTCCTTCAAATAATCAGGTTAAAATCTCTTAGCTCCACCTCTGCCCGACTGGCCCTCAATTAATTAGAGATTTCCCACCCAGTTACTATCTAGCATGGATGGTAGCTACAAGAAATTAATTGTCCCTAATTGAGATATCAATAAATACCGTTAAAACTTATTATCAATTAAAGCAATAAAATAGTTAATTAAACCCCTATCGAGGTCGTCTTTCCGTTTATTGCATGTAAATAATTACACTTCAAGTTTTACGTATAAACTAGGCTACGATAGAAAACCCAAATAACGAAAATTGTTTGGAAACATATCAAAGGGCCAACGTGAAATTTCGGGCGGGGAAAGAGAACCAAATGCATTTTTCAAAAAAATAAAAATTTGGGCACAAAAATATTCACTCTTAAATCGGTTTCCATTGGTCCAATTCAGTTACGCGGATTAAGACCAAACAATCCTACGCCATCGATTACATTAAAATCCAACGGTACTCATCACTCCATCCTTTCAACCCAAAATCCAGCAGCAGCACAATATATCAGTACCACATAACCAAACTTCGTCTGTCCATTCGCCATCTTCGATTGAACACCTGATCCCTTCGCCGATTCCCATTTTTGCCCCCAAATTCATTTTTAAATATTCTTAATTGTTGAATTTTAACCTAATTTCATGGAGTCCGCTGCAACAAAAGTGAAGAAGGGTGCTGGAGGAAGGAAGGGCGGCGGCCCGAAGAAGAAGCCTGTGTCCCGTTCTGTCAAAGCCGGTCTACAGTTTCCGGTAGGTAGAATTGGACGTTACTTGAAAAAGGGTCGCTATGCCCAGAGGGTTGGTACTGGAGCCCCAGTTTACATGGCCGCAGTTCTTGAATATCTTGCTGCTGAGGTGACGTTTCTAGTTCAGATCTATGTTTTTGTGTTTTAAAAATCATTTCAACCAATATTTTGTAATCTAGGTTTTTGTTTTGATTTTTGATATTTATGTATTCCTCTGGATTAATGTAGAAAACACACGATTAGCTATATGTATATTTGATATATAACCTGATAAAGAATTCAATTGCGATCTTGTTTGATCCCAAGTATTGATCATTCAGAATTTGAATATTTGTTCTAGGTTTTGGAGTTGGCTGGAAATGCAGCACGGGACAACAAGAAGAACAGAATTATCCCGAGGCATGTGTTATTGGCTGTGAGGAATGATGAAGAGCTTGGGAAATTGCTGCAAGGAGTGACCATTGCTCATGGTGGAGTGATTCCGAACATTAACCCAGTATTGTTGCCAAAGAAGACTGGTGCAGATAAGGAACCAAAATCACCCTCAAAGGCTACCAAGTCTCCCAAGAAGGCTGCTGCTTAGTTCAATATGAATTCACCTGATAAAATATTTTACCATGTAGTTAGCTTAGCCTTAGAACGAGTTTCTAGAAAAAATGGGTTGTAGAGAAAGATAAGGTTGTAATATGTTGTTCTATTTCTTTGAATCCATGAATTAAAATTGAAACCCCTTGTTTTGGTTTTTTAATTTTTTCTCGTGTTTCTTTGGTTAATTTAGGGCTTGTTTGGGCCTGATTTTTTCACCCAAAAAATTGATTTTTTTACTGTTATTTTATTATTTCAGCTGTTATATTTGACTTCTTCTCTCACAGGTGGATTTCACTTTTCTCCTAATGGTCAAAAAATCAATTCTCAAAATTAATCCCAAACAGGCTCTTAATGATGTACACATTATAGTTTGATTGCTGTTTTTTGTTATGGTTCGCATAGAAGGTAGGTCAGTGCAGCCAATAAATAAGAATTAAGTTAAATGACCATATACTTTGACATATTGTTTGACACATTTCTTACAATTGAGGTGTGACTCCTGGGCGAATAAAATAATGTCAAGCTCTTCATGTGCGTGTAATGTGTTAACTGATGTATCAAGGTTTGTAGTCATGTAGTCATTAAATAAAAAGGAGAGGAAGACTATTAAAGTGAGGTATGAATTTTCCACTTTGTGCCATTTGAGATGAATGGGCAGTTGGGTGAAGTAATATAACAAAACAAATAACGTCTCTTTCAAATCACTGGAAAAGTCCACCATTGCCATTCTTTGTACAATTATCAGTTTTCGATGGGAAGTTTCGGCCATACAGGATGATCAGAATTCAAGGTTTGGTGATCCTGGGTTATTAGTAAGGGTCATAGTAAACCACTCAGTCTTCAATTGAGGATTATTTACAAATTTGTGCATTATAATATTTTTGTGCTATGCAACTATTGATGCAGATGTATTTCCCGAGTAGTCGTCGCATCTCCTCTGCATTTCCTCTCTACAGGTGGCTTGTGTTGCGCCACTCTTCCACAAAATTGTTTGTCGGAGGTCTCTCTTTCTTTCTCTATGTCGAATCACAGACACATAAAGACATTTGTATGAGCATGTGCAAGCACTAGTGTTTTAAATCTTTAAACCGTTTGGAGGAAACATCGTGCAGTCATTCCTTTAAGTTTGCTTCTCTTGTCTGTTCGATATAATGCCCCACTTGAAAGAAGCTCTTTGCCTGATACTCCCTCATTCCTTAGTATTCGTTTGGTACAAATTTTGAACATGTTTGAGTAGTTTTCTTAAAGTGCTTTGTCTGGACTAGAATAACTTTTAGAGAAAATTAATCCTAAATAATTGCTTCAGGAAGCTCTTTTACATGAAGAAAGCCAAAGTTCTGCAAAACGGACCTTCCAAACATCCAACGATGGAATGCAATGGGATAGATGGTAGAGGGCTGCCTACGCTCAAAAGCCAGGGCTTGGCCTGTGGAAAAAATGAAAACCATTATTCAACTGTTTTCAATTCTGAAAATGTTTTAACGTAGGCATTTCATTGTATAAATCTGCAACAAATTTCAGGACTTTCTTATGATACCAATGAACCTGTTCTAAAGAAAGCTTTCGAGAAGTATGGCGAGGTAATTCAAGGTAGGTATTGGACTTTTATATTGCATTTTAGAAATGTGATATTATTTATCAAGAAAGTAATGTGATGTATTTGGCAGTAAACGTTATATGTGACCATGTAAGTGGCAAATCAAAAGGATATGGATTTGTACGTTATGCCGAGCAGCAAGCAAAGCCTTGAAGGAAATGGATGGCCAGGTATTCCCAAGTAATTTGATAGACATCATTTACTTATCTGACTGAAATTGACTATGTTCATATATGTTACTTTTTTTTATATAAAAAAAGTTTCCTATATACTTATAATCAAACATTTAAGCTTATCAACTTATCTATGTTGTGCTTTCTGCAGTTGCTAAAGGATAGAAATATTCTTCTCCAATATGCGCACAGAGAGTGAAGACGTGGATTTTAGGTCCAAAGAAGTTTAACTTTCAGTGATTGAATGTTACATATGGGAATTATGTTGATATTTGGGAAATTTTATTTCAGTTGCTTTAGCCTTTTTCATGAAACATGCTTTACTTTCCTAGTTGTCATGGTGTTTTTTTTTTTTACACATTTTTAATTTCAAAGCAATTCCAAGCCTTTAAAACATAGCAGCTAGCGCCAACTGCATTTTCTTAAATTACTTAAAAGCTGAGAAGTGAAAAATATAAATTTTCGACGTTTATCCTGGAAAAGTGGCATTTGTTTGGATTAACAAGTCGGATAGATGTTCTTGCAGTTATTTTAAGTGTATGTTTGGTGTATTGTATTAAAACCTATAAAGATTATTTTAATCTTACCTATTCCTTATTTGATCTTTGATACAATTAGCGCCTTAAATAAATTAATATATGAGTTGAATTTTAGACCGTATAGTTTATTCACAATTTTATGAACGAAGAAAAAATAAGTTTGATTAAAATATAAGAATTTATTTATAAGTAAATAAGCATTAAAAAATTATTTTATAAGTTTAAAAATAATTTATAACTAAATAAACTATTTACTGATAAAAAATCACTTATTGAAAAACATTCTATTACAAGTAAAATTTCATTAGCAGCTAGACAGAATTCTTGAGATACGTATTAAAATCACAGCATGAAGAAATTAAACTCGATGTCGCCATATTACCAGAAAACTTCAAAAACAAAATTACAGTAGCATGAAGAAATTAAATTCAATTATCCAAGATTTTCATTTTCCGAGATGAATACATTATAAAAGTATGATTTCTAAAGAAGAAAAACATAAAAATAAATCCCTCCAACAAAAATAAAAGAAGCTTGAAGCTCAGCATCTGAGTGCTGTTGTCTCAAAAAAAGCATATAAAGGCATGGAGGATCTCTCTCATTCTCTCTCTCTATCTACATTGAAAAATGAAGGCAAAGTATACATGCATTTTGGTCTTCATTTTGTTAGGTTTTGCAAGATCGGATTTAGCCAAATATTGAGAACTACGTGCAAATCAATCAGTAGGTCTAGCTACATGTCTTCCTATGCTGGAGGTGATGTTAAAGCGCCCACGCTCGACTGTTGCACCAGCCTAAAACAAGTCCTTCGTACATGTCAAGGATTAACATACACTTCAGCCTCCAGCTCAATTGACAACTAATCTCAAAACACCAGCTACTTATCCTTGCTATCTTACCTCCTGTTTCACCAGAATACTGCCACTGATCTCTGTTATAAATAGATTCCTAGCATACTCCATAGTTTAAGGAACTAATTCGCAGCTGTACACTCTATAATATTCTTTGTACACTCCTTTGTAATATATATTTATTGATGCTGAAGCAATGTAAGTTTTAAGGTGAATCAGTATTCAACATTATCTGAATTTCTAACTTGGTATCAGAGCAAATTCATGGCCAACGCCGATAATGCACCACAAAGCACTGACCCCATCTCTACTCCTGTATCAATCTCAATCAATATTGTTGCTACATGTAGAGAAGCAACCATCTCTCACCCTTTGGTGTGAATCTGACCCAAGTAGCGTCGGTCAAGCTTGATAAGAACAATTTTCTACTATGGCAAAATATGATTCTGTCTATCATTCGTGGACACAATCTTAAAGACTATATTCTGGGGACAAAGGTGTGCCCTCAAGAATTTATTGGCACTCAAGTTACTGGTGAAGCTGGAACCAGTGTTGAAATGACCAAAAATCTTGAATAAATGGATGTCAACAAACCAATTGCTAATGGGATGGCTCTACTCTTCAATGACTCCTGATATAGCTATGAGAGTCATGGGTGCCACCAACTCCAATGAACTGTGGACTGCTATAAAAGAGAGTTATGGAGTTCAAAACAAATAGGCTTGGGCGCGATTTGCTTTGGGTCGGTTTCGGTTCCAACCCAAAATCAAAACTAAATTAGTCGGTTGGTCAAATTTCAAGCCAAACCAATCCACTCTAACTTTTAGATCGAACCAAACCAAATTGATTTGGTTAATTGGTTTGGACTTTTAGTCTAAATTAAATTTTTTTAAAAGAAATTATTTGAGTTTAGGCACACTTAAATTACAATAACAAAAATAATCAAATAGTTTTATATTATAAGAATTATTGATTAACAAATAAAATCAGGTTAATATAGAAGGATCAGCAGAAAACCTAATTATTTTTTTTGTATGTATTATGTAATTTGACCGCCTGAATAAGGAACAAAGTGCTAAGTATAACATAATAAGCTTGTGAAAGAAAATTGTCTGTGCTATTAGTTACCAGTAATATCATAGATTAGAGGGAATCAAGATATAGTTATGTGATTAGAATTTATCTTTTGATTTTTATTTTTCCTTAAACTAAAAAAAAAGGTGAACACATAAGTGGATTATGTTGGTTCGGTTAACAAACGGTTTGAGACTTCAAACCATGACTGAACCGACCCATCGCAATTTTGTTTAAAAGAAAACCAAATCAAATCAATTATCTGCGTCAAACCAACTCGAACCAAACCAATTCGGTTTGATTGGTTTGGTCGATTTTTTTTGCCCAGGACTACAAACAAGTCCAGGATCACCTTTCTTACTGGTGAGTTTCAGAAATCAAGGAAAGGAACCATAAGCATTGATCAATGTTTGAACAAAGTGAAGCTGTTTGTAGATAACTTTAAAACTGTTGGCAAAGCTATTCCTCACTCTGACCTGGTTACTTAGGTCTTGGCTGGCTAAGATGAAGAATATACACCAATTGTTGTTCAAATTAACAGCAGAGATCACATCTCTTGGGGAGAACTGTAGTCAACACTTATGACCTTCGAAACCAGACTTGAACATCTCAACACAGTCAGGAATGAATTAGTAGGGATCAACATTGATCAAACATCAGCAAATTTTTCTCAAAGATCAAGCCCCAATCATCATCACATCAGATCTACAGGTAGGCATTGGTGGACGACTTTCAAGTTACAAGAATTT